ATTTATTTTTAATAAAGAAAAATAGTTTGCTTTTTACATATTATAATCAAAGTACTATATATTTGAATTATATTACTAATTTAAAAAAAAATTGCAATCATACAAAAACAGTAAAAGAATGAACAAGATATAACAAACAAATTAAAAATTATAAAATTCAATTACAAAAACTTAAAACCCAAAAAAAGAATATATAAGAAAAAATCAAAATTAGTTATGAAAAATTAGATAATTATTATTAATTATTTAATTATTATTTATTATAAATGTTTAACGATTTAAAAATCAAAAGCAATAAAGATAAAAAAATTAAAGAATTAAAAAAAATAATTAAAAAAAAAAAAAGAATATAAAAATATAATGACAGAAAAAAATAAATATAAAAAAAAGCAGAAACTTGGAAATGATTATATGAAACAGCCAAATGAGAAAAAGAAAGGTATAAAACTTTATATAATGAATGTTTAAAAAATCATGGTGATTATAATCATATTAAAAAAGAATTAGAAAAAATTACAAAAGAACGTGATGATTATAAAAGAGATTTAAGAAAAAGTCAAGAAGAAAAAAGAAAAATTATTTAAATTATTCAAAAAAATGTCAATACAATTGTTAAATTAATGCAACAACTTTCACCTGATTTAATAAGACAAATCATTGATTAATTTGAAAAATTTGCCAATTCTAATAATCAAAAATATATAATATGATTATTGAAAATATTGAAGAAATTGGAGTTAATGCTTAATTTTTTAAATTGTATTTTTTATTTTATTTTATTTTATAAAAAATAAAAAAATATATAAATACTCGTTTCTTTTTTCTTAAAAAATAAATGTCAAATTTTCTCTTGTATATCACTTATTTAAATTTTAATATTTGTTGTTTTTTAATAATAATCTCGCTTAGTACTCTTCTTTATAAATCTAACGAATTAATCGAAATGCTCTTAACCTTAAAACAAATTTTAACATTTGTAACAACAAATATTAAACTTATAATTTTAGAACTTGTTCACTTGTTGGATAATTAAAACTGGCGACAAAAAAGAAACAACTACCAACTAAAAAAACTAAATCAAAAACAACAAAAACAGCGATCAAAATAATACCTCCAAAAAACTATAAAAAAACAAAAAAAAAAAGTACAAACTAATTTTGGATCTTGTTGTTATAAAAACTTATTATGAGTA